AAAAAAAAAAAAGAAAGAAAGAAAGAAAAAGAGTAAGAGGGTGGACTCATTCCTTCAGCTCCTACCTGAGCCACTTATGTTCTAGGTCACAGGGCAAGGATTAGTTTGAAGAGAACCCTGTTCTATCTTTTTTTCTTTTCTTTTCTTTTCTTTTTTTTTCTTTTTTTTGCAGTTTGGCTGGGGCTGGGTTTGAACCCACCACTCTCAGTATATGGGGCTGGAGCCCTACTCACTGAGCTACAGGCATCACCCTGAACCCTGTTCTATCTTGACCATCTTTTCTAGACTTGGGGATGAAGGAGTGGTTGTTCTGGAGGCCTGAGGGCAGTGCTTTTTTTTTTTTTTTTTGAGGCAGAGTCTCACTTTGTTGCCCTCTGTAGAGTGTTGTGGCATCATAGCTCACAGAAACCTCAAACTCTTGGGCACAGGAGATTCTTTTGCTTCAGCCTCCCAAATAGCTGGGACTACAGGCGCCCACCACAACAACTAGTTATTTTTAGAGATGGGTTTTTGCACTTGCTCAGGCTGGTCTCGAACTTATGAGCTCAAACAATCCACCCACCTCAGCCTCCTAGAACACTAAGTATGAGCCACTGTGCCCGACCTTGAGTGCAGTGCTTCTTAGGGACAGATGGTGCTCTGGAATGTCCACCCTGAAATACAAGTCCCATTCTGAGCAAGGGAGAAGGTAATGATCTGTTTTGGTTTTCTGTTTCCCTTTCAGGTCCTGGTTTGTCCCCTATCCCAGGAGGATGCTGTGGGAGCTGAAGCAGCAGCCCACTGGAGAACAGGAAAAGCAGCAGTTGACAAGGTAGACTCCTCCCTCCCCGTACCTGGACCTGCCCATCTTAGCTTCCCCCAGGGCCCTGGCTGGGCCTGGCAAGAGGAGCAGAGATGCTATTGCTTTTGGAGTGGTTCCTTCCCATGGAATTCGTGAAGCTCCTCTGAGGGACTGCTGAGCCTGAGAAAGCCAGGTTAATTCTGTGGCAGCCCAGGAGCCTAGCAAGGGGCAGGAAAATAAGGAGTCCAGAACCAAGGGACAGCAGATAACTCACGCCTACCAGTCTAGGGCTTCCATTCACTGATTTAACACTCACAGTGACCCATAGAGACTGGTAATACTGTCTACCTTTTATAAATGAGGAAACTATAACGAGGCTTAATGATTTGCCCTAAATGGCCTAGCTAGTAAGCAGGAGCTCCAGCACTCACAGGGAGGCTGCAGGGACATGGCATGGCCTCCTCGACACTTAACAGTTTGCAGCTGCCTTGGGGGTGGGGAGCTACTCTGTTAGAACTCGGGGGTGTGTGGCCCAGGGCTGTGTGGGTGTCAGTTTGCCCTGGTGGCACTCACCTCCTGTGGCACCGGCCTTTTTCCAGTCCCCAGAGCTCATCCTGTCACTGGCTGCTCTGCTGAAATTTTCAGTAAGAAATGCCAGTTGGATCTATGACACATCAGCCTGCAGCTGGAGGGGAGCAGCCAACAGCTTGTCCTCTGAATGTGTTTTCTGTGAGTCTGCATGTTCCAAATGGGCAGTAGCATGTGGGAAGGGGAAAGCATGACACTTGTTTTTGTCAATTTGCTGACTGCTCAGTCACTGCGGCTGCCTCCTTTGCCCCCAGCTGCTCTGTCATTTTTCTCTCTTTACAATCCTGCCCGATCTTGAGCAGAGATAAAAGCAGATTTCCGCTTCTGCTCTGAGATCCAGGCTAGACCCTGCAGGCAGCTGCTCCCGACTATCTCACAGCCATTAATCTTCAAAAGCCCTCTCATGCTTGCACACCTCTCCTCCCCAGCCAACCCCCCACTGTTGGGCCCAGCTGCAATGTCTCTCTGCCTGGCTGGCCCCTGCCCTTGACTTTCAGGCAGTAGATGGGGAGTTCTCTAGACAGCAGCAGCACCTCAGCTGCAGCTCCACATCTGAAGGAAGGAAAGGGGAAAGAGCTGCAGCAGATGAGGGGGAACCCACTCGGAAGGCAGAGGGATCCGATCAGGAGGCGGTGCAGCCTGCTGGGGAGAGGCTGCTGGTGCTGCAGGGAGCCTGGGGTTAGTGCAAAGGCAGTTCTGTGGGAGCCTCTCAAAGTAGGGCAGGCAGGGGGTGGTCACACTAGGGCAAGGAGCCCATTAAAGCCGGAGTGCCCACCTGACCCAGGCCATGAGCCTGTGACCACTTGTCTCAGCTCCTGTCAGCCTGTCTTGGGAGGCATTGCCTTCCTGGTGACAGGACTGTCAGGCTGAGGGCCAGAGGGCACTGTTCCCGGAACCTACTCTGTGTTCCCTGGTCCTATCTTTGCATTCATCCTCTCATCTACCTGCCATGTTTCTGTCACCTCATCCTTGGCACCATTTTCAAGTTGCCCCTCTCTTTCCACTGGCCTGTGGAATTGTTAGGCCAAGGTCATGGACCTGGCTCAGGGCCCAGATGCACTTCCATGAGACAGCACCCCTTGGCAGAACTGCTCTAAGGACCTGTGCAGGAGGTAGTGGCTCCTCCAGGGGGTGGTTCCAGATGAAATAGGGAGGAGAGAGGCAGGGGCTTCTGGCAGTGTGGGGAGATATGGCTGCCTGAGCTTGGAGGTTGCCTGGGCCCTGGCAGCTGGGGTGCCATGTGGGCTGGGAGGGAGGGGCTCTCTCCCCCAGGCAGCAGGCTGGCTTTGGTGGGAGCAGATTGTGTTTACACCTTCCCCGCACACCCAGCCCACGCTCGCCTCTTATTCCCAGGGCCTCTCCCACCCTGGGCTCTCCGCACAATCTGCACATTTGCAGCTACTGCTACAGAAAGTTGCCTCCCTCAGCCTAGAACTCCACTACAGAAGGCTCCCAGGACCCAGATATCCCTTCCTCAGCCCACTTGCTCCCATCACAGGGGCTGATGTGAAGCCTGTGGTGAGGCTGGTCCTTTCAGTGGGGGAGTCACTTATATCCTGACTGTGACACTGTCCCACAGAAGCTGAGTCCTCTCCCCTACTGTTTACCTGCAAAGAGCTGCTGCTTGGTAGTGGAACAGGGGTGTTGTGGGCTTGGCAGAGAGCGAGTTAAGGGCAAGTAGAAAGACAGAGCTGGGGAGGAGGGAGGAGCAAGGAGTCCAGAGTCAGAGTGCCTGGATTTGAATCGTGACTCTACCCCTCCTCCCTTTGTGGGCTTGGGTAGGTTTCTGAACAACTCTGTGCCTCAGTTTCCTTAGCAGTAAGAGGAGATAATAGCAGTACCTATCTCTCAGAGCTGTTTTAAGGTTGATTAGATAATACATGTAAAGTGCTTAGTGAGTGTCCTAATTATTGTACCTCACTGAAGAGTGGTGGATTCAGGACAGCTGGAGTTCCTCCTTTTCTCACCCTGCGGTCCTTTATGCCCATCTATCTGCGCATGTAGAGCTGGGCAGTCAGCAATTGTGAAACAAAGTGGGGGGCCTGGCATAGGGGGGAACTGCTAGAGTAGGGAGGAGCACCCAGTAGCCTGTACTAGAGGACCACCATGGCTGCCCAGAGCCCTGTTCCTACCTCCAGTGGGGTTCCCAGCCAGGATACCTCCCCCTAACAGGCTCGGCTTTCCCAGTAAGTCTCAGCTCCTGAGAAGGCAGGAGGTGGTTGCCCTGATGTCTTCCCTCCCTCTGTCTGAATGCTAATCTCTCTGCTGGTGGGAGCCTGACTGACAGGGACAAGGCTGCTCAAAGCTGCAGGGTAGCCAAGGGCAGCAGCCAGAGCAGGGAGGTGCTGCTGTCTGCTACTTCTTGACTGAGACTCAGGGCTGCTGCCAGTCTCTCCTGGAGATTGGAGCATGACCAGAGAACTAATGAGTAGTGGGGGTGGGGTGGGGAAGCAAAGGAAGTAGCCATAGCAGCTGCAGCAGCTGCTGCTGTCTTGTGTCACACTGGGGTGCAGATGTGACCATGGGGATTATCCATTCACCCCAAACATTTGCTTGTGTGTACATGTGTGAAGTCTTCAGCAAGGGCATACAGCAGAGGTCCTGGTCCAAGACTAGATGGGTAAGGCATGGTGCCCAACCCGAGTGCACAATGGCGTGCGATGGTGCAAGAGAGTAGTCTTTTGGGCTTCCATGGCCCCTCTGCGGAGGGCCTGGTAGGAAGAAGCCCAAGATGTACAGCTAGAGAAAAGAATGTTTCTCCATAACCTCAAAAAATGAGAAGACCAGCTCGGCGCCAGCCACATACACCTGAGCTGGAGGGTTTGGGTCTAGCCCAGGCTGCCAAACAACAATGTCAAACAACAATGGCGGATGCAACCAAAAAATGGTGGGGCGTTGTGGCGGGTGCCTGTGGTCCCAGCTACTTGGGAGGCAGAGGCAGGAGACTTGCTTGAGCCCAGGAGTTGGAGGTTGCTGTGAGCTGTGATGCCATAGCACTCTACCTAGTGGGACAGCTTGAGGCTCTGTCTCATTTAAAAAAAAAAAAAAAAGAGAATACTGATGTGGCTTACATTGAAGCTTATGTTAATAAAATGAAAATCAAACTAGCAATATGATTAATAATGGCTGACATATATCAAACACTTATTATGTACTAGGCACTATGCCAAGTGCTTTATTATTTTATGCATTGTCTCATTTATGAGGCAGGAACAGTTGTTATCCTCATTATCCAATAAGGAAAGTGAAGTTCACAGAACTTGCTCAAGGTCACTCCTGGCTAGCAGTAAAGCGAAATTTGATGCCAAAGTGCAGAGTGGAAAGGACCTGAGTCTAGAGCCAGGGATTCTGAGGAAATTCTGCTGTGACCTGTCTATAAAGGTACAAAGAGTAGAGCTGAGGACCCGCCTTGGCCATGCCTTTGTGGGTGGGCCTATGTTGGCCAGGGTTATTTACACTGTTTCTTTTATAAGAGCTCACATACAAAGGCAGATCAGATTCTGGGCCCTGAATATCCTTGCCTGTCATGTCAGGGGTTAAAGAGAGATGCCTCTCTAGGACCCATCAGTCTCCCTGAGGGAGGAAGCAATGACTCTGGCAGAGATGACAGATCGCAAGGCCATCACTCACAGCCACTGCCACTACCACTGTTGGCTCCTTCAACCAGGGGTAGGACCCTGGGGAGAGGAGAGGACGCAGCCAGCAGCCTAGCTAGAGGGGGAAGCTGGAGAAGGCTGTTAGTTTTCGGGGGGGGGGGGCAGAGTTCAGGGCATAGAACCAAAGAAGTGGCTTTAAGAGGGATCCACTGAGTCCTTGTTCCTGAGGACAGACCCTCTCTGTGGTACATATATGCCCCCTAGTGGGGATTAAGGCTATAAGTAGGCTGAAAACATTTAACCCCTGCCAAAAAAAGATTTATTGACAGACTGAGCCTTTGAGCCTGGGTAGGAAGGGCCAGTCCTTTCCCTGTTTGAACACACACACTTAATATTCATATGCAGAGGCATTAGCCATTCAAACTAAGCATTAAAATAAATTTATTGGGCAGCACCCATAGCTCTGTGGGTAGGGTACCGGCCACATACACCAAGGCTGGTGGGTTTGAACCCAGATTGGACCTGCTAAACAACAATGACAACTGCAACAACAACAAATAGCTGGGCGTTGTGGTGGGCGCCTGTAGTCTCAGCTACTTGGGAGGCTGAGGTAAGAGAATCACTTAAGCCTAAGAGTTGGAGGTTGCTGTGAGCTGTGATGCCAGGGCACTCTACCCAGGGCGCCATAGTGAGATGCTGTCTTTTTAAAAAAAAAAAAAGAAATTTATTCATTTGGCTGTTCATTTAACAAGCATGTAATGGGAGGCTACAATGTACAACAGGGTGTTAGGTGTTAGGAGTGACACAGTAATGAACAATCCCAGTCTTGGAAACCTAGTTCTACCAGCTCGGTCCTGCCTGCTCATGTGAGATCCACTACTCTCTGGATCTCAGTTTCCCAATTCAATGAACCTATGTTGAAGCCAGACGGGCTGGTACAGAGGATGTAAAGGACTAATGACTCCTCAGGAAGAAAAATGTCTAGTAAAGTGAAAGGGATGGATCAGATGATCCTGGAGACACCAGTGATCTTCCCAATCACAAGAGACCATAATGGACTGTGGAGGTGTTGATAATCATTTGCAGAGTGCTTGTGTGCCAGACATTGTGGTTATAGAAACAGATTATGACTTTCTGCCACAACTGTTTTAGCTGGCCTGGGCTGGTTTCAAATCTGCCAGCTTCAGTGTATATGGCCGGTACCCTACCCACTGAGCTACAGGCACCACTTCTTATAAAGTTTTCTAAGAGATAGCCGGGTGTTGGCAGCTGCTTGGGAGTCTGAGGCAAGAGAATTGCTTAAGCCCAAGAGTTGGAGGTTGCTGTGAGCTGTGACACCATAGTACTCTACCAAGGGCGACATAGTGAGACTCTGAGTAAAAAAAAAAAAAAAAAACTTTTTTCTAAGAGAAATGGAAACTTACATCCACAAAAAGATTTTCCAAAAGCGTTTTACTAATAACTCCAAACTGAGGGCGGCACCTATAGCTCAAAAGGGTAGGGTGCCAGCCCTATATGCTGGAGGTGGCGGGTTCAAACCCAGCCTCAGCCAAATACATAAATAAATAAATAAAAATTGAAAAAAAATAACTCCCAACTGGAAGCAACCCAAATATTCATCAACATGTGAATGGATAAACAAAGTGAGGCATACTAATACAATAGAATACTACTAAGCAATAGAAAGGAAATAAACTACTGATATCAGTAACATGGGTACTGAGAGAAGCCAGACATAAAAGTATACCTACTCTTTGATCACATTTTTATGAAATTCTAAAACAGGCAAAACTAATTGATAGTGACAAAAAGCAGATCAGTGGTTGGTTAGGGTCAGGGTTAAATATAAGGACTCATTGGGGTGACAAAAATGTTCTAAATTTTAATTGGAAATTGTGATTACATGGGTATATACACTTATTGGACCATTGAATATACATTTAAATGGTTTTATGGTATTGTATGTAAATAATAAAGATGACTTAAAGAGTTCAAAACAAGAATGAAGATCTGATCCTTGTCTTGCTCACAGTCTGAAAAGCCAGACAAAAAAATAATCCTAAAACAACGGGATGAGTGTTAGAAGTATGTTTAAGTACCAAGAGCTCCCATATATTGAGTGCTTACTTTGTGCCAGGCACATAGTAAGTGCTTGAGATACACTGGCTTTTATTATTTATTTATTTATTTTGAAACAGAGTCTCACTCTGTCACCTTAGCTAGAGTGTAATAGCATCATCATAGCTCACTGTGACCTCCAAATTCCAGGACCCAAATGATCCTCATGCCTCAGTCTCCTGAGTAGCTGAGACTATGGATGCCCACCATCAAACACAGCTAAGTTTTTCTATTTTTTTTTTTTTGACACAGTCTTACATGTTGCCCTGGGTAGAGTGCTGTGGTGTCACAGCTCACAGCAACCTCCAACTCCTGGGCTTAAGTGATTCTCTTGCTTCAGCCTCCCAAGTAGCTGGAACTATAGGTGCTGCCACAATGCCCGGCTATTTTTTGGTTACAGTTGTCATTGTTTTTTAGCTGGCCCAAGCTGGGTTCAAACATGCCAACCTCAGTGTACGTGGCTGGCACTGTAACCATTGTGCTATGGGCGCCGAGCCAGTTTTTCTATATTTTTGTAGAGATAGGATCTCACTCTTTCTCAGGCTGGTCTTGAGTTTCTGACCTCAAACAGTCCTCCTGCCTCAGCCTCCCAGAGTGCCAGGATTATAGGTGTGAGCCACCATGCCTAGCCTTAGATACCATCAGTTTTTAGGCTGGATTGACTGATGAAGGTCTTGATGCTCCCACTTAAAATTCCTTTACCTTTTCTGTACATTGGTTTCCTCAGCAGTAAAATGTGAGGATAATGACAGGGCTTTTGTGAGAATCAAATGAGACCATGTATAAAGGTGTTTATAGCAGTGCCTAGCACAGAGTAAACACTTCACAGACTTAAATTATTATTTCAGAAAGGAAACATGCACATATCAGCCCATTTTCTATACTTTTCCATGATCTATTATTCCAGGTAATTATTATTTTTAAAAAAAGAATTGGAAAATGTTGACATAATTTAGGATGATTTGACTTTTTTTTTTTTTTGAGACAGAGCCTCAAGCTATCACCCATGGCTTCACTGCTCACAGCAACCTCCAACTCCTAGGCTCAAGCTAGTCTCCTGCCTCTGCCTCCCAAGTAGCTGGGACCACAGGCGCCCGCCACAACGCCTGGCTATTTTTTTTTGGTTTCAGCCATTATTGTTTGTTGGGTCTGGGCTGGATTCGAACCTGCCACCCTAGGTGTATGTGGCTGGCGTCTTAGCCGCTTGAGCCACAGGCGCCGAGCCTGGATGATTTGACTCTTAACAGAGCACCCAATTTAAGATGACATGAACAATAAGGAGATTTCTTTTCTAAATCTGACATTCTGTATTTTTCTGGAACTAAGATGTTCTTGCTTGTAAGATATAGCTCACATTTAAGAATATTAAAATGAGCAAGACATGGTGCCTCATACCTGTAATCCTAGTACTCTGGGAGGCTTAAAAGGGAGAATCCCTTGAGCTCAGAGATTGAGAACAGCCTGAGTAAGAGTGAGACCCCTACTCTACTAAAAAGTAGAAAAATTAGCTGGGCCTGTGGTGAGTACTTATAGTTCCAGCTACTCAGGAGGCTAAAGCAGGAGGATCACTTGAATCCAGGAGTTTGAGGTTGTCATGGGCTTGGCCAAAACCCTGGTATTCTAGCCTGGGCAACAGATAAGACTCTGTAAAAAAAAAAAAAAAAAAAAAAAGAATATTAAAGTGTAACAACATGTGTCTGCATCAAAACAAGAGGTCCTGGGGTGGAGTTTTCAGGACTGGTGATTTCTGCAGCTCAACAGCATCGTGAAGGACTCATGCTCTCTCTTCTTCCCATTCTGGCAGGCCGTTGGTTCCTGCTTAGAAAAAAGCCTCATGGATGCCGGACAGCTATAGCAGGCACAGGTGTCACATCTTCAGTGTCCCAAAACCAGAAGAGGCTGTTGTTTTTAAAAGCAAGAAAACATTCCTAAACTTGGTCAGAATCACACATCAGACTCTTTTCTAAAACATTTCCTGGCAAAAGGAATAGACTTATGTCTGGTGAAGACTAATTTGAACCTTGGGGACAGGGAGGGATTTGCTACTACTTAATAGCTGAACAGAACCTAGTTTCATGAGATGGAGGAAAAACAAGACTGGCCACTAACAGTGCCTGCCATTCAGATGTACTTCCTGTGATGTACTGCTGGTGCACCTGTTCCAGATGTGAGCAGCCAACTGCTTGGAGTACTACCTACCTTCCTTCATGTTCTCATTAATAAAATGAAAGGTTGCTTTCTGGGTTTAGAAATTAACCTCAGTATTCCAAAGACTCTGTTTTCTATTACTGTAGATTTTGGATATCTGTCTTAAATCCTGTCAGTGACCACCCAAACACAGCAGGCCAGGTGAGTAGATTTTCTCTGTACTCAGTGCCCAGGTCCTTGAATAGCACTGGATACGCCTGCTCTGTACAGTTTGTGTTCTACTTCTGTCACTTATCACTAGGATGACTCTTTCCATGTCAATAAATATAGATCTGCACTAGCCTTGTATGATGACTATATAATAATTCCACTGTGAAATTGAAATGTACTAGATCTCACTAGCAATGAGTGCAAATGAGATCACACAAACACTAACACTTCAGTCTCAACAAGCTCCTAGCCCTCGCCTGCTCATTCAGGAATTCTGATGCATTCTTTGAAGTTTCCCCAGTTATTTCTGGATTGCCCACGCAGCATACTTCACATGTGCTCAGGCACAAGGCCTCTTATTGTATTTTGTTCCAGCCTCTTGGCCAGGACCCAACTGTCCTGGCACCCCCATCCGCTGTGAGCCTGTTGCCGTTCCACTAGGCACAACCGTACTCTGCAGGGGAAGTAGTGCCCAGTGGGGCATGAAAGCTAGACAGTGGCTCATGGCAGAGTGAGGAGCTGTGAGTAATGGCCCTCACTGCATACTTGGTAGCAACTAGTCTAGAGCCTAGAGCCTCAGTCTTTCACACATCAGCTCCTGCAGCATCTCATCCTCACTCTTCCTGACATGAAGTGGCTCAAAATGATGAAGCACGTGTCTATCATTCCTCTTTTCTTTCCTTTTTTTAAAGAGACAGAGTCTTATTTTGTCGCCCTCGGTAGAGTGCCGTGGCGACACAGCTCACAGCTCTCCAGCTCTTGGGCTTAGGAGATTCTCTTGCTTCAGCCTCCTGAGCAGTTGGGACTACAGGTGCTCACCACAACACCAGGCTATTTTTTGTTGCAGTTTGGCTGGGGCTGGGTTTGAACCTGCCACCCTCAGTATATGGGCCCAGCACCCTACTCACTGAGCCACAGGTGCTGCCCTATCATTCCTCTTTTCAACCTTTTCATTTCATTTCTTTCTTTTTTTGGAGACAGAGCCTCACTCTGTGCCCCGGGTAGAGTGCTGTGGCATCATAGCTCACAGCAACCTCAAACTTTTGGGCTCAAATGATCCTCTTGCCTCACCCTCCCAAGTAGTTGCAACTACACGTGCCTGGCTAATTTTTCTATTTTTAGTAGAGACGAGGTTATGCTCTTGCTCAGGCTGGTCTCGAACTCATGAAGCTCAAGCAATGTACCTGCTTCCTTCCTCCAGAGTGCGAGGATTGCAGGTGTGAGCTACCATGCCAGCCCTCAACCTCATTTTTCATCTTGTTCCCAACCACCCCTACAAACACACAAAAGTCCTCCTCCCTCCTCCTTTGTCCCCTAAACAAAGTTCTTATATATAAGATTGACTTATTCATGGTGCAGTACAACTTGTTGGTAAACACAAGAACTCTACAGGCTGGGATCAAACCCTGACTCAGCCAGTTATTATTTGTATGAATTTGGGTAAGCTACCTCATCTCTCAATGCTTCTGTTTTCTTATCCATAAAGGGTGAATAGTGACATACTGCATAGTGCAGTTGTAAGGAGTAAATGAGCTCATATACATATGATAATTGATGTTGGCAACTATTAAGTGCTATGAAGTATTAGCTATCATTATCATCTTGCCTACAGGCGGTCACCAGCCCACTAGTTTCACAAGCAGCGTTTTGGCAAATTCCACATTTAGAAGTTCCTCTACAAGTTTCAAATGAAAGGAACTTAGTTTGCAGAGAGAACACATTCTTCCTTTCCATATTACACAAAATAATTTGTCTTCAAGAGTAAGATAGAGAAATCCAACAAAGTTACTGCTGAATGATTATTTGCTGAATACTGACTGAGCACAGAGCAGGCCAACAAAATTCAGCACTGTAAAGACATTAAAAAGAACAAACAAAAACAAAACCAGCAGGTGCTAGTGGCTCACCATTTGTAACTCCAGCATGTTCGGAGACCGTGAAAGGAGGATCAGTTGAGCCCAAGAGTCTGGACAACATAGTGAGACTTCTCTCAAAAGTCCTGGCTTAGCACCTGTGGCTCAAGTGG